GCAGCATAGCCTGCACCACTGTATCAGCTAGCCTCATCCTGCAATAAAAGCTCCATCCCTGCTTGCATATGGCCAAAAATTAAATCCAATGGAGCAAAGCTCACCTGAAAAGCAGTACTGGAAGAGATGGCCCCATGCCTGCTCAAGCAGAGAGCTTGGCCAGCAGCACTGTCGAGCTGTGCTCGCCCCCCAGGGAAATATGAGCACGTCCCGTCCTGCTTCTATGAAGAGCCGGGGATCACATTTTCCTTGGGCTCTTCCCTATACCAGGTTCAACCCCCTCCCTGTATTTACCTGGCTGGACTGGGGGGATGGGACTGAACCATGGAGTTTCTTTCTGCTTTTCCAAGGCTGAGTATCTGGTGGGAAAAAATCTTCCCCGCTTTCCAGCATCACCGCACGCTGCCACTACCAGACAGCTGGGGAAAGGTCAGGCAGCCCGTATGTTAAATTAACACCCCTGCGGACTAAAATATTAGTTCCTGGTATTGGTCAAGAAAACTCACAGGTGCCCTTCCTCCTCCTCATCTCTCCTGATGCATGCTCATGGCAGGGACACCATGAACCCCCTCCCTGTGCCTGGTGATGCAAAAATATCACAAATTACAGCCTCCAACGGGAGGTAAAATGGTGAGCCTGACTTCCTGAACTGGAACTTGGCCAGAGACTGGGGAGGGAAAAAAAAAAACCTCACATGGCACCCAAACCCAAGCAGCAGACAGAAGCTGCCCCATGCACGGGGGCACAAGCACCAGCCTGCCTGCTTGCTGGCAGCGGGAGGTCCCCGGGGGGGGGATCCCCAGTGTACTAGATGCCAGAAACCTCGTTGAACCCACATCATCTTCTTGGATTGGTGATGCTGGGTATGGCCCAGGGGAATAAAACCTGGTTCAGCTCAGAAGAGAATAAGTGAGACTGATCCTTCAGTTGGGAATGAAACAAAACCCAAGGAAATCCCCAAAGAGCACATGGAGACATTCTGGGGAGGGAAAACTGTTTGGGAAAGACTGCTCCTGTCTTCGGCTTGTCTTGTTTACAAACCCGTGGATTTCAAAGCCCCAAAGCATGGCTGGATTTATTTTATCAACAGCACACAGCTCTAAGAACTGCATCGTTCTAAAATCCATCCCCAGGTCAGCTGTGGGGCCTATTCAAAAAGTCCTGAAATTTGGGAGTTCTTGGGAACAAAGACAATCCTACTAAAACAGCAGGTATCCAAAATAGCTCTAGTTCTTGGAAACTTGACCACCATTTGAGGTCTTCAATCCAGAAAGAGCCATGACGATGCCCCTTGCAGAGAGCTGAGATGCAGGCTGGCATAACCCCGCGACGGCTGATCGAGCACAGGGAAACAAACGCCTGGGTGACCCCGGGGGGAAAGGCTTGTCCACACTCAGATGCAGTCCACCACCGTGCCACAGCCTCGCAGCAAGAGTTTTTACCTCCGTCGCTTCATTAATGATGCCTGATTTTGGGGATTGTCCTTTCTGGGGACTGATTTTGGGGGATTGTCTACTTGCAAGCTTGGGGAGGGACTAACACCACCACCACCCCCCCACCCCCCCCCCCATGCCCATGGCGCTCTGTGCTGCAGGAAGAAGAGGCAGAGCATGTATGAGTAATCATGATGTGAAGGTCAAGTTTAAGATACCTCATCCTCCAGAGCTACTTTGGGTAGTATTTGGGTATATTTGGAGACCTGCTATTCTGGTAGGATCATCAGAACTCCCAAGAACTCCTAAACTTCACGACTTTTGGATTGGTTCCTGCAGTTGTCCCTGGGATGGGTTTTTAAACAATAAGAGCCATTTCTGCACCTCTGCACAGCTGGTGCACTGCATTTTAAACACCAGGCAAGGAGGAAAGGTTGTTTTCTCCTGCGGCTGCTGAGCACCTGGGTGCGCGCTCAGGGTGCACGCTCGTCCTCCGAGCAGCCGCCCTGCTCCCTCCTGCTTCCCCATTCCTCCCGTCCTGGAGCAACACGCTGCTTCCACAAATCTGGATTGTCATTGGGAAGAGACCGTAACAGAGGGAAAAAGGTGGTGGTGGTGGAGGGATTTCAAGTACAGCTGGGTGGATTAGGCCACAAGGGAAGTAGAGAATTAATGATGCTCTAGCAGCTTGAAATTTGCCGGTCCAGAGATGAAACTTTTAAGTCGTTCTTGGCAAGGGTGGGGAAAAGACAGCCTATCGAGCCAATGCCACCTGCTGGAGGCAGCACTCGGAGACCGAGATTCAGGGCACTGGTTAAACAGGTGTTTCTCAGTTGTCCTTGCACCCAAAATTCCTCTTCTGAAGCTTGAAAACCTGAGCCCATGCCTGAGCGGGGCAGAGACCTTGGCTGCCCACAAGCGCAGCCCCTCTGCCGTCGCAAGGAATGTTTTCCTTTCTCCCAGGTTCCGAGTGTCTTTCCCCCACTTACCTCATCTGACAGCTAATTATCATTCCAGAGGTAATTGCTGGAAGAGCCGTATGGGATCCATAAAGCACTAATGCTGGGGGATTTTTTTCCGAAGAATCACAAGACCAGAAAAGTCCTATATATTATTGTTGTTGTTATTGGTATGATGATCACTGCTGTAATAGCAGCCAAAATAGCCAAATTAGGTTGCAGAAACCGTTATTGCTGCTCAGACACGAAGACAAGGTTATTGTCCCTGAAGCCTTTCCAAGTCTAAGAGGTTTTTAATTGGGAGGAAATAATATGTTCACATGCTCTAATGAGAGAGTTACAGAATAAATGCAGACCTAAGGGGAGGAAAGGAGGAGGGAGGTGAAGCCTCAGTGCAGAGACCTCCATGAAGGGATGAAATGGGGAGCAGCCGCTGCAGGGGCAGCGAATCCAGGCGGGGGGTCAATGCTTCTGCATGCGTGTTCATGTCGGTTATCTAGTAAACCATTCCTTAGGCTCCAGCAATACTGCTACTTATATCATAAATTCAGTGATCTTCCCTTTACTGGTCATTAATCTGCTTCGTTTCCTGACAATTTTATACTCTTTTGATAAACTGTTTGTCTAACCGCTTGGAAGAAACAATGTCAAAAGCTGTACCTTAGGCGTTCACCCAACTAATGAAGAAAATCCATCACCAGGAGAGTTTATCTATTGCTTTGCTGGATGTAAATAAAACGTCAGGCTAATTTACTTCCATTAATCTTAAAGGCCGTTGCTACAATGATAGTCTTATGTCAGAGTGGACTTTTTTTTTCCTTTTCTGCATAAATATTTAAACAAGCACTGAAAGCATAAATAAATTGCTTTCTAAAAGCCGGATTATTTTTATAGCCAGTGATTTACCAATAAATTTGGATTTACTTGCTAGCTCTTGCCTTTCAGGCAGCAGCCAGCCCGTGCTTCACCCGCATGGGCATGGAGGCGCTTCGACAGTTCTTGCCGAGCATCTTGTGGGGTCTCCAAGTACCACCCCCGAGTGTCACCCCACTGGTGTCGTCCCCAGCCAGTGGGTGGCTTCAGCGGGCGCTCAGGCTGCTCTGCAAGGTCTGTACAGGGCTGCTGCCACGGCTATGCCGTGTCCTGTGGCCACAAAGGCGGCCCTTAAATGCTGCAAAAAAAGGCATTTAGTTTATGGAAGGTGAGGCCAGCGAAGCACTGCAGCAGGCTGCTGGGGGGGGGGGGGCACCAGCTTTGGGGGTCAAGAACAGGCTGGACAGGAGTAGCGTGCCCGTGAGGGGGTCTGGGTGGGTGTCTGTGTACACGTCGTGCGTGGGCGTGCATGGGGGGGGGGGGAAGCGTATGCAAGGGGCGGGTGAGGGCGAGCGTGGGTGCGTGCGTGCGCGTGGGTGGGGTGGCGCGCACGGGTTTGCACGCGTGCGTGTGCGCGCGCGTGTTCTGCCGCTCGGGGCCGATGTGGCCCCTTGCCTCCCTCCCCCTGGCCCCCCCCCCGTTTTCTGCCGGCAGAAGGGCTGTGCAGAGCCAGAGGCCTGCTGAGCCCTTGGACCGCTGTGGCAAGAAGCAGTTTCCTCCCGGGGAAGCCCCACGAGGGTGCACGCCCGCGCTTCTCAAACGCGGCTCCCCGAGCGCTGGCGGCGAGCAGCACGTGGGCACGAGGGTGCCGCAGGGATGGGGTCCCCCCCCCACCCCTGATGGGGGTCCCCCCCACCCCTGCAAGGAGCCCCCAGCGGGAGCGCTGCCACGTGCCTCGGAGAAAACCTCACAGGCTTTTCCAGCATCCCTCGGAGTGTCGAAGGGAAGAACAAGGTGGAGGGTGGCTGCACCGGGCTTTCGCCCTGGGTGGTTTTCAGGTGATGTGTGGAGCAAGCGGCACCCCGTGCCCGTGCTGCTGGGCCCTCGGGGGCACTCACACACGGATGGTTTCGCTTTCCCGGCGGTCTTGGCTCCTTCATGCTGCTGCTCTCTCCAGTGCATGGTAGCATGGGGTTGCATTTAACTGCCCCTGCTGGGATCCACCTGCACTTCAGTTCTCGCAAGCCCAGAGAAGGTGCCTTAACTTGTTTCATCACCGTTTTTATCCCTTGCTTAGCTGCTGTTGCCTTCTCAAAACCAAAGCAGTCCCTGCCCCAGCACCACAGCCAACTTGGACCGTGTCCTTTTTTTGTTACTCCAGCCCAACAGGATCCGTGATGGTGCCCAGTGAAATATGGTTAAAACAGGATCACTGCTGAGATGAGATCTTGTTTGTTAAGCATGGCCCTGAGTGAATTTTTATAACTACATTATAAAACCATAACAATAAGTTTAGCATAGGAAATATGACACATTCATAGCTGGAGCAAACTGAACCCAATACTACATAGTAAAGGTTGATGTAAGAGCAGGGATTTCTCTGAATGGCCACGACCACAGTTCGAAGCCTCTGTGCTTTGCTGGCTACATAGACAAGCTCATGGAAAAAAATATTAATTAGAGAAGGCTAATGATAAGCCTCAGCAAGATCATGGCTTTTGCTTCTCTCGTTTATCCATACATGTCTCTCTGTTAAATCAAGAGTGATTTTTATTCACATGTGTAACTGCTTACAGATGTTCCATATGTGTTTAGCCAGCAAACTCACATGTTTCAACTAAGGAAATGCAAAAAAAAAAAAAAAAAAAAAAAAAAACCAACAGAAAAATCCCCACTACTTTGTGCAATGTTAAGGTCAAGCAGATGCAACCAGAGGCAAGGGAAGAGCTGCTGTTCCAGCACAGCAAAGCCTACAGCTTTAGCCACCGCACAGTGCCTCACCTTCCCCTCGCTTCTTGCTGAGAACTTGGCTTACTCGGGACAAAACCCTCTCTTTTAATTAAATTTCTAATTTTAATGAGAAAAACAAGACTATGACTGATGCTACACATCCTAACTAATGTTTTTGTTACCACGTAGCTTTTCACAGCATATTTTCTGGATTTATGTTACACTTAGTCTCCTTTATTCATATAAGGTTGTGCTTGGGCATGGCTTTTCACAGGACCCAGGATGAGTTATTTTGTTCTCCTCCATGCTTACAGGCTAAGCTCACCCCCCGATAATGAACCCCCATGATCTGGGCTTTAGTGGGGCTTGCCCAACAGTCATCCATCCCGTGGCATAGCAAATGGGGTGATAACTCATGAGGTGGAGAGAGTGCTGGGGGAAAGGCTTTCTCTGGCTGGCCGGAGGGCAGGACTCCAGGAAGATGGTGCTGGTGCTCCGGACGCTGATGTGACGGCAAAGCTGCGTGCTGACGCTTTCTGAGAACACTCGTGCTTATTGATTCATGTTCACCCACACCTCGCTCCATCTTCTCTCCAGCAAGAGGAAAATGGGGAAAAAAAAAAAAAAAAGTAATTGCTTATGTTTGTCAGCGTGGATGATAGGCATGCTTGCAGACACTCAAACTGACATGACGCTGAGGGACGGAGCAGGGGAGGCACCGATTCCCACCTTTTCTGCTTCTCCACCGCGTGGGTGACCGTTTTCTCCAGAGCTAGTGCAACGGGACTGCACCACAGCACAGGTCTCCATGCCGGTCTCACCGAGACTCTCCAAAGGCATGAGCGACTTGGGGTGCCTCAAGCATGGAGGTCCCACTTGGAAAAACAGAGGACTGCTCCCCGAGGCTCCTTCAAAAAGCCTTTTTTCTGCTGGCAAACCATCAGCCCACAGGTCGAGGACCGGCTGCTCCTGGCAAGAGAACACTGACTGCATGCCTCAGCTGGGAAACGCCCTGCGGAGAGCGAGAGGCTCCGGCAGACCCCATCCCTGTGCCTTTTTTCCTCCTGCTCATTCTGCTTTTGAATTATGTCTCGGCCCTGACACTTGATGAGCTGCCTGGCTGGGATGCGGCTGTGCCCCACCGCAGCGGGCTGCTGGGCAAGAGCCCGAGGGCTGACAGGAGTGGAGTGGGGTCTGCCGGAGGTGCCAGCGTGCTCAGGAAGCATTTTGCACTCGATGGCCTCCTGCTGAAATAGCCTGGCATTTTTGCTAAAAGATATTTCTGCAAGCCTCAGAAAGAGTTCCGCGCAGCCGTGCCTAGGAGGGCAGGCAGGAGCGCTTTCCACAAGTGGCAGAGCTCGGGGTTCGGTTTGCCTTTTAAGCCCCCGACAGCGAAGGGAAAGAGCCAGCGAGAGATTTAAATCTTCAGATCCCACGCTCAAAAGGCACCTTGGCAGCAGCCCAGGCCTGCCGAGCCATGGCACACATCACACATCATCACACGTCGCACGGCGCTGGCCGGGCACAGCACCACGGAGCAGCTGCCGCCGGGTGCTGCCTGCGGTGCCGGGTCCTGCCCGGCCCCAGATTTGGGCAGGGGCTCGTGCCCAGGCACACATCACCACCCCCACGGAGAGTGGGGGGAAGACAGAGCTCGGCTTGAGTGACTTGGCCCTGCTTAATCCATTTAGAAAGCTCCCCTCTGCTTCCCCCCGCACCGCTCCAGTCTCTCCGCCTGCGATGTTTTGGAAACAGCGAAGGTGTCGTCAAAAAGCCCGGCGAAAGCCGTGGAAAGGCTGCCAGCGAGTTCCCCCCAGCCTTGAGCAGTTCCTCTTGCTCCTTCTTTAACACTTCCCGGGGTCCCCGTAAGCTGTTCAACTGTCCAAGCCTCCAACTTTCAAAGCTACTAGGGTGAGGGGGTGAAGGCACCCAAAAAAATCTCACGGATGCACCCCTCCTTTGAAAAATCCACGCTGAGATCATTACTTGATATCTGCTGCCTTTCTCAAGCAGTTGTGGGTTGTTTCAGGAGATGTCTCCTCCTCTTTCTTACTCTCTCTAACCCCGTCTCCCTCTCCGGGGCATCCTACGGGGCGGGGGACACACATTTAGGAGAGGAAAGTACCCGCACGCAGCCTCACGTTGCCCACGCCAAGGGGGTGAGGCACATCCCTGGTCGCTGGGGTTTGCAAGGCGCGCCGTGCCGGGGCGGGGGGGAGGCCGGTTCAGCGCGGTGGCTCCTCGAACACCGTCAGGTTGCGCTCCTGGATGTAACGCAGCAGGATGCTCGCCCGCTTCTCGATGGTCCGAAGGAAGGGTCCCAGCCCCTCACCGCCCCCCTGGCTCTCCCAGAGCTCCCGGTCCACGCGCAGCGACTCCAGCAGCAGGTTCCTCAACCTGCCCGACCGCAGCGTGGCCACCGCCGCCGCCGGGAAGCTGCCGCACAGGAGCAAAAGAGAGAGGGAGGGAAAGGGGGTTACCCAAAAAGGGCCGAGCAGGGAGGAGGGGAGCAGCGGGGCACCCCAGAAAACCCACCCCGGCGCTTCAAGAAGCCACACGTGTCCGCCCGGGGGAACACGGGATGAGGAGCCTCCTGAAGCCACACATGTCCGCCCGGGGGAACACGGGATGAGGAGCCTCCTGAAGCCACACGTGTCCGCCCGGGGGAACACGGGATGAGGAGCCTCCTGAAGCCACACGTGTCCGCCCGGGGGAACACGGGATGAGGAGCCTCCTGCTTAAAACTCTGCCCACGGCGAGCGTGGGGGGCAGCTGCATCAGAAACAGATCCAAATGAGCTCTAAATCAAGGGGCCTACAGCATGCCAAAATGCCTGACAAGCCATGACGCAAGAACCGCTGAAATACCTGATTGTTAGTGATTTTTGTGCGGCTGCCAACTAGAGAGGGGGGAAACAGGCTTCGGAGACTGCCGTCAGCAGCCCAGAGCGGGATGGAGAGCTAGTTTCGGGGCAGGGGCACGTGTGAAGGGTTTGTGAGCCCACCCACCTGCCCCATCCCGGGTGGGAGGTGGCCCCGCTTCCCCAGGGGTGCCCGCCGGGAGGCCGGGAGCGGCACATGGGGCTGGTGCCCACCCCGCGTGGGCAAGCTCAGCCCTCGCCCGGGCTGTGCCCCGGGGGGGGGGGGGTGCAAACCCCCCCCCTAAATACCTGGCTATGCCTTGCAGGAGCCTGAAGTTGAGCTTCTCCTCGGGGTGCTGTGGCCTGCCCGCGTTGTCGATGAACACCAGGCGGGACGGCGCGCTCCTCCGGACCTGCCAGCGGGGCGGGAAGAAGTTCACTTACTGCGTGGAATCACCGCTTTGAGGGTTTGGGGTGATTTTTTAAATGTGGTTTTTTGTTTTTTTTTTTTTTGTTTGTTTGTTTGTTTGGGGTTTTTTTGTTTTGTTTTGTTTTGTTTTGTTTTGTTTTTTCAAATCCTGAGAGCATTTGGGGGCCAGCAGCTACCAAAGCCCACATCCCTCCATGCCGAGGCACGCCTCCCACCACAGATCCAGCTTCACCACGGGACCTACGTCCCCTTTGCTGCCACCTCAGCCCTGCAAGTGCCTCCCAGGCGCCTTTATCCTCACCCCAGAGCAGCCCCTGGGGAGCGGGGAGACGTACCAGGATGTGGACCAGGACTAACTCCGATGGGTTTCGGCACTTCTCGTGGAGCATCTCCTCCATGCAGGGCTCGGAGGGATCGGGCTGAAACCCACAGCAGTAGCGGTCCAAGCGGTCGTGAACCTGCGGGAGACGTTTGGGGACCTTAATGGGGACAGCTGCCCAGGAGGGGGAGGTCCAGTTGTGTGAACTTTTCTTGCTCAGAGGAAAATAAGAAGTTTCTAAGGATCCTCAGTCGATATGAGATGGAGAAGTCGCATGCAAAGGTGAGTGAGAGAGAGGCAGAGAAGCATTCAGAAGCTGAGCTGACTTGCAAAACCAAAAAATAAAAAACAAAACAAAACAAAAACAACAACAAAAAAAAAAAAAAAGCACCCAAAGAAACTTAGGTTTTGAAGCCTCAAAAAGGGGTTGTTTTGTTTTTGTTTTTGTTTTTTTTTTTTCTCAGGATGAGTCTTGGTGCACCGGATGATGGTTTAATCTGGATCCTTTCATCCATCCCTCCGATAACCTGAACAACTCTCAATGGAAAGATGAATGGAAAAGGATCAGCAAGGAAAAAAGCGATCTGCACATTACACAGAGCATGCCTGACATTTAAGTTGGGCCACAGTGACTTGTTTTAACCACATTTGTGTTTAATTATTTGCAGGCACTGCTAAGGCTCTGTGTTGTCGAGGCTGTCAAGCCCCCCCCCCCCACCTTCCCACCCCAAATCCCTGCAGAAACTCCAGTGCTGCTTGGCAGCTTCCAGTGTTTCAACCACACCCTCGGAGGGATGCGGGACTTTTAAAGGACATAAATCTCTGTCAGATCTGGGTTCAGCAACCCTGCCTTGGTATTCACAAAGCTTCCTCAGCTTTGTCAGAAGCAGCCAACGCATCCTCTGTGGTGGCCTGTGGGGCAGACGGGACCTCGCTGGCTGTCAACAGCCCTCCCCATGGCTGCGTGGTGCCACAGCCATGTAGGGGAGAGCTGGCTCACCACCTCCAGCTCCAGAGGTCCATTTGCAACATTACAGCAGAAAAAAAAACCCATATATATATATAAAATATATATAAATATATATATATATAAAATATACATATATAAATATATATGTGTGTGTGTATATAAAAAAATCTCCCTTAAATATATAAATATATATATATATATATACACACACATCTCCTTTAAATATGTATAAATATATACAAAATATATAAAATATGTTCTGGTTGCAGCACAAAGGCATCCAGCTGGCTCACTTGCTCAGGGTTGCTGCTGCCAGCTGGGAGCCAAGGCTTTGGATGCAGAGAGACTCCTGGAGGTGCTGGGAGGGCTGGAGCAGGTCTCAGGTGAGCTCAGAGTGATCTACAGGTGACAACTAGACAGAAGCCAAATGACCCACAGTGACTGCCTATTCCCCTCATCCTGCTAATTAACAAAACTTATCAATTACAGGCTGTGCTTTGAGAGGGAGTTCCATCCGAACCCAAACACGAACCAATCATCGGAGAAGATGCTGCAGGAAACTCAAAGTTTGATTTTGGTGGCAATTATATTCACAACCCTTTGACAAGCAAGATCAGTCCCACACCAGAGCCTCTGTTTCCTGAGGTTTAGTGAAGCGCTTGGGTCAGCATTTCTCTGTCAGGACACCCACCAGGTAAAAGTGCTAGAGAGTCTTTTGACACAAAACACATCGAAATGAAAAGAAACCTCACATTCCCTCCATGCATCTCCTTGGTCTACCTACAGGAAAGCTCAGCACACCGGTTTCTCTTATGTGCTATGTTGTTTCCCAGGCTGCACAGAAGGTGAAGGGAACCTGAGATGACTTATAGAGACATCAAATGGGCTCAGACCTCCACTCACCCACCCACGAGTACCTGTGAAACTGAGGTGGATTGGTGCTGGAGCTGTGGGGGTGTGAGGTGGAGGCTGGACCTGGTGTCCAGGTGTAGCCCCAGGAGATGGACCAGGCAGCTGTGGAGATGCTGAGAGTGCCGTTGGCTTGTTGATGAGCCCACCCTCCCCCTGTTCCTCCCTGGATTGTTTATATGAATTTCTTCTCTTCCCAGTTGGAAAGCAGGTACCACAGGGCAGGGATGTGGCTGCAGGGCTTCGGCAGTGATGTATTTTTTGCCCTTTTTAAAGTGCAGGACAAAGCCAACAGCAGCTGCCCCCCTTTCCACCCGGCTCGGCATTTTGCTCCCAGTAAAGCTTTGCACCACCTTATGGCAAACACCAAAAGAGGTCAACACAGAAGACAACCGATTTTAAGGCTAATTGAAGAAAACAACCAAGATTTCAATGCCAATGTACAGCAGGGCTCAAAGCTTGCAGCTTCTCCTTCCCCAGCAAGGGCTGTGAGAGGCTAAAGACATTTCTGAAGGATGCTATTTCACTTCTATAACATACTGTTGACTTGGTGCCTCTTTACCTTTACGTGACTTTTCCACATGGGAGAATCCCACTGGAGTTACTGAAGAAAACCTGTGGATTGCCCTTGGACTTATCATTGCCTGGCTTTAGCTCTCCAAGGAAAAGTCTCCTTAAAACTGGATACTTTCTCCTGGAGACTCAGCATTTCCATTGCACTTGACAGCATTTTGGCCTGGGGAAGGCAAGGGGTTTGGTTAATCTTCTCATTTCTCTGGCTTTTTCAACTAAAATATTTCCAAGCCCAGCCAGGACTGCTCCACCTCTGCCAGCCATAGTCTGAGGTTATAAAGACTAATGGTCAGGCTTTGCCAAAAAAAAAAAAAAAGAGAGAATAATGAGAACACATATTTTAATAGCTCTTTCTTTCTGTCTTTTTTCCTTTCTTTCCTTCTTTCCTCCTTCCTTCCTGTCTTTCTTTCTTTGCTTCTTTTTTTCCTTCTTTTTTCTTTTTTTTTTTTTAAATACTTGCCCTTGTCAGATAACCAAAGCTCCAGCCCCAAGGTCCCTAAACAGGCTTTTTTCCATAAAAATCACTTTTTCCTCCTCACAGCTGCCCTGTAAGAAATGATAACTCTCTAGGATGCTGCCATAATCCCTCGTAGCAGCAGAGTATGATTTTCCAGCGAGAAGATTAAGCACTATTAATCCCGAGGAGAAAAGGAGGAGGAAAGCAGTGCTGTATGAAGGGTTGGGACTCCTGATTCCCAGCACCAGCAGTGCATCCCCGGAGCTGGATCTGATGGGGCTGACGCAGATCGTGCTGCTCGTCCCTAGAGATGCCCCGTCCCGAGCCGCTGCCGGCACCCGCGCGGAGGGGAGCCGGTAGAGCTGCACCGGGAGAAAGCTTGGCCGTGTGAGAGCCGACTCGCCACGTCCAAAACGTGCCCATGTTTCCCCTTGCGAGGCCAAACTGCTTCTGCACAAAGCTCTGCTGCTCCCCGTTAGCTAACGAGTGAAAATACATCCTGAGAAACCGCAGCCTATGTGACCCCGCAGAGAAGGAGAACCACGGTTGGACATGGCAGGTGTGTGTGGGGGGGGGGACCCGGGTGGCACAGCCGGTGGGACGGGTGGGCTCCATCGCCCCAGCCCTACCTGAAGGAGAAAGTCGAAGAGGGCCAGGCGGCTCCACTCGCCGTGTGGGATGCTGGAGCAAGGAGCATCCCTGGCCGCCGGCGTCAGTCCGTGGGGCCGCAGCATCTCCTGGTACTGCAGCCACCCCAGGGCACAGGAGTTCTGGTCGTTGTTGGCGTCCTCCAGGTGCCGGAGGTCGGGCTCCCACCAGATGATGGGTCGCAGGGAGCCGTCGGTGTAGCTGTAGGGCAGGAGGCGGCTGGTGAAGCGCCGGGCCACGGCGGGCAGGCTGCGGTTCAGCCCCAGCACCCTGTCCAGGTGGAAGGCCAGCACCTCGTAGAGGTCCCCGGGGCGCTTGATGAGCCCGCAGCGCCCGTCCTGGCAGTCCCCCTCCGGGCTGGCTGGTGAGGCGTCCCTCTCGGGGTCCCCCACGGCCCGTAGCCCCACTCGCAGGACCTGCCCGTGGGCCGGGACACGGGTTTTGGATACCACTTGCCCTTCAGCCAGCAGCCGCATCTTCTGGAGATCGTCGTCGGAGAGCCATGGGGGGATATCCCCCGCCACCCCCCGCCGTCGCCTCCTGCCCCGGCCGTGGGGCTGGCCCCGCCGCAGGTGAGTGGGGGGTACAGGGAGCCTTTTGCCGTGGGCTCGTCCCCTGGATAAGGGGGCAGCCCCCTCCTGCCGGGAACCTGGGGGGGACGATGCTGGCAGCGGGTGGGGGGAGCGGTCCGGCGGGGGGAGCAAGTGGGCGAGGGCCAGGAGGGCCAGGACCAGCAGCACCCCGAGGGCTGCCGGAGCGGGGGGCTTCAGCCCCATCCTTCGCCACGGTCGCTGGGCCTGCGTGGAGAGAAAAGCAGAGCATTACCAGGGGGGGTCCCTGCACGGTGCCGTGGACAGGGATCCCCCAGACCTCTGTGCCCCCCTGCCCCAGGCAGAGCTCTCAATAAGCTTAATGGGGTTTGTCTTGGAGGAGCAGCCCCCTCTGTCTGTGTGCTCCCTGGGAAAAGGGCTCCCCCAAGGGCTCACAGCCTCCATGGCTCTGTCGCAGGAGAGGTACGGCTGGTGGCATGATTTGTGCAGGAAATTAGCCGCAGTCCCTTCAGAAGCCTGTCAGAGCAAGGGCTGACCTGCCACAGATGTTGTCGCATCTGCAGCGCTGAGGTACGGGGTTCACTTTATGGGCGATGAATTTTTCAAGGTCAAATATTTTGCTTTAAAGACCCAAGACATGAAAAAGGGAAAAACAAAATAGCCCAAACCAGAGCAGATTCCTGGCTGGATGCGAACACTTTGCAGTTCCTAAGAGGTTTTTATCTTCAGACCTTATTTTGGGCACCCTCAGTGGTTCCTATCTTGGTTGCAGATGGAACCCATAACCTGGGTCCCCACACCCGTGTCCGCAGCACATCTCAACGTGTGCCAAAACTCAGTCTCTGGAGCTCTGCTCATCACTGCATCCAGCAAAAGCTCCAAGGGCCAGTCGGGAGCTGTGGCAGCCTGTATTTAAAAACGATGCAAACTGCTGTATCTGAAACCTAAAATGTTCTGATTCCCAGCACCAAAGAACTGCCTGGTTTTGTTGTATTGTACTACCAGGTTTTGGTGTATATATCTTTATACACACAGCTTTTTTTTTTTTTTTTCCCCCCTTTTAGTCATACTTTCTACTCTGAAGAGACTTATAAAAATTAGATAGGCTGGAAATGCAGTTACGAGCAAATACAGTGCCAGTCTCCCCGCGTTGCTGAGCTTGTATCTCCCCTCTGGCCCGGAGCAAACCACGACACACGTTCACCCGGGCTCGGGCGGTCTGACACGTTTCGAGGTAGCTGGAGCAGTAAAAGGCACCTTGGCATCATTTCTCTGCTTTACAATAGGCATTTCCAAGTGGCTTGGACCCACAATGGAAATCATGGCAATGTTCAAGTGGATACATTTTTTTGCAATTATTTATTTTGGAAGCACAAGTATAGCCATGGCAGACACAGCGGGACAATATATTGCCAAAGAAGGGATAAGAGATTGTTTATAAGAGGAAAAGCTCGGAAAAAAAGAGAACTAAAAAGCTGGGGAGGTGAGAGCCAGCAGCCGGAATGGCTTCCAGAAGGCAGCTGGGCGAGCAGAAACTTTTCCAGCCACGGGATTTTTAGGCCCACAGGCTCCTGCTGACTGCAGGGACCCACCACCGGCACGACCCCAGCCCCGAGAGGAGCTGCCCTGGGCCATCCCAGCGCGTGAGCCCCTTCACAAGCTGATCCAGCACTATCCTAAAATCCATCAGGTTGTGTGTCCTCACCGCGGGGAGGCTGCTCCAGCTGGGCTTGTGGTGAGGAGCCACATCCCTCCCAAAGACACTACATCAGCTGAAGTGGGTAAGAGGAACCAGAAAGCCACCAGCTCACTAGCAGCAGGCATGGGGGTTCGCCTTCGAGGTCTCCCTCTCAAGGACTGAGCAGATTTAACGCAGCTTATAAGAGCTATCGATGGTGCATTTGGAATGGTTCAGCTTTATAGCTCTCACTGAACAGTTTCTCGCCCAGAAATACAGTGTAGTGCAGAAAAATCTATCTGCCAGACCAAATTCTTTGCTCACACAGAGCCTACACAGTTCTCTGCTGGGAGCTGGGGCTGTCTGGTTCAAGGCTTCGAGACCTGCTGGGGGAACCTCTGGTTTAGCTCTCCCTTAAAGCCCCAGAGTGAAAAGGAGCTAGTCCAAGAGAGTGATATCTTGTCCTAGATAACAGGCAGGGTTATTAAAGGCTTGGTATTAACTGTCCCAGGCATCATGCTACATGACTAAATTATTGCCTTAGGCCCCTTTCTGGGCAGGGGATGAGCATGAATACCCCTGAGCAGCCCCAAGGGGCAGCAGGACATCTGTCAAGTGGCTTATTGCAATGCTTCCCCAGCCCTCTCCCGCTTGGATGGAACAATGATGTGCCGTGGAACCACAGCCAACACCAACAGAGGCAGCACCTGAGCTCAGCTACCCAAATCCTTCATGCCCTGGAATTCTAGCAAGTCTTGCAGAGTGCAGACACATACTTATTCCCAAGCACCTGCAGCCCGGGTTTGGTATCACGAGCAAGAGTTTAGGGGAGGCACAATATCTAAATCAAGGTTTAATCATGGTAAAGTAACACTGTGGCATAAGAAGGCCAGATTCTGATATCCTGGTATCCATAATCCTTTCAAGTCATCCCTGTAAATGCTTCACAGTCTGTCCCTCCAACTTCAGAGTACACTGAATTAACTGCAACGACATCTACGGAGTTCATCTTGATGGACAGGATTAACTGTAAATCTCAGTTTTCCCATCTGCATCCAGCTGAGTTCCCTTCCCAATCCACTCTTCCCTGGGCAACTTTAGCCAGCGTGTGCCCCATCCCACCCCTCTAGAGAGGCACAGCCCACCCCACTCTCACCAAAACCCCCCATAACTCTCTTTTTCTGCAGGGAGGATTTGGTGAGCATTTTGTTATCCACCCAATAACAACACTTCGGTCACTTACACCATCCCTGGGTGTGCAAATGGCCTGGCTGCCAAAAATCCAAGTATCCTGGGTGGGGTGTGGGGTGTGTGCAGGAGCCATTTGAGATCCTTGGAAATACTGCAGGAAAAATCCTTTTTAATCCACAGCTGGAGAGCAATGGATGCCAAATAGATGGCAATGATTCCCAGGTTTTTAATGTCAAGTCAGTTTACAGTCCAAATAGTTAAGGAATTACTGGCCAAACCCGCTTTGTCTTCTCTGTCAGTGAGCTCAGGTTTGGGCACTGCAAGTTAGAGCTTCATTTCTTTCCCACCCTGAGCTTGAAATCCTGCGCCGCGAAACTTGGCGAGGGCCACCGCAGGCTCCTTTCCCCAGCCCTGTTCAAGGTTTCCCTGCCACATCAACAATAAAAAGGAAAAAAAAAAAAAAAAAGTGCAAGTACAGTCTCTGTTATTTCTGGCAGTCGATATTGCAAATTTAATAATAATCTAGATGATAGAACACTGCAGAAATAATACTGTATTTACAAGCCCAGAGTAAATACTTTTCCAAAAAGACTTTCTCTGAGCCCAAGCTGTAAAAAAACCGCTACAGTTTAAGCTATGGCTTCGATTCAGCCTGAAATGCAAACCATACGTACAGCTCTGCTCTGCCAGTCTGACATACTGACAGTACAGCACGTCTTCACCAGAAATTAGGTCCATTTCCCAGGGGGCAAGCTACAGGCAAACCCATAAAAAGGCTTAAGAGAGGTACTGCTTGTTCCAAGATGACAATATGGAAATAATATATATCCTCACTCATCAGAGGGACATACAGCATGGCCTGGGCTCCCAAAGACACGGTGGAGAGCCTGTGCAGCCTGGCCACTCGGGGATAAAACTTTCTAAGTGTGGTTGGGAGGGTTTTATCTTTGACACTGTATTCCCAGGACACTCGAACCTTGGCAGAAATTGAAGCAGAGAAGCCTGTTTTCAATTTCTTTGCAAAGTGCATCAAATTGGCTTTGTTGAGCTTGAAAGAAAAGAAAATCCCAAACTTCATTATCCAAGAATGTAAGAAACAGCCCTAAAACTAGAGATATGCCATGGAAACATGTGGCCTTTAAAAGAGAGATTGACCTCTGCTTTCCTCTGGCATCCAAGAGGGTGCTCCTGCCCCTGCACCGGCACGGACAGATCCCTCCAGCAGTAAATCCCACCATCCCAAAGAGGTTCCCAAGGGAGCCAGGATGGGTTGGCCTGGGTCATCTGCCTGCCCTAGGCTCCCAAGCTCAGAGGATTTTGCCAAAGGCTGCTGGTAAACAGGCTAAAAGCAGGTACGTGCACTTATCTGCACGCACACCATGCAAAGTGTATTTTGCAAGAGGGGGGTACAACGCAGGGAGCTGTACTTACCCTCCCAGCACCATGCTCGCTGCCTGCTCGATGAACCGCAAAACTGCCTGGGCAGCAGGAGACGCAGCCCACCGTGACCAATTTTAACAAAGACTGCTTGAAAAGCAACTGGGAAACCTCCTCTGGCTGCCCCCCACCTCCGGGAACATCTCCAGAGCCTTGTGCCCAATATGTGGTGCTCGCAGCAGCTCTCAGCATGTCGGGGGGAGAGGCTGAGAGCGGGTGCATCAATCAGCTCCGGGAGGGGACCAGACTCTTCCTTTTGGCATTGTCCAGGAGTTCTTTGGTTTGTTAAGGGCATGGCACGTGGGCTAAGATCACTGCTGGGGACCCATAACCGTGTTGAGGACGTGGAAGAAGACAAAATCCCTCCATCCCCAGAGTGACTCTGGGCAAGCCTGAGCAGAAGGAAATCCTGGGCAGTGTCCGTAGCGCATCATTCAAGCGCTTAAGTGCCTTCCTATATCATCCTGCTTGGGGAAGATAGATGGCTCACAGAGTTGGAATTTACTGAAGACAGCTATTAAATGATGACTGCCAGGCTCAAAAGTAGCCCTGGCTCAGAGTAGGGGTGCAGGTCTCCCAGTACATGGGTACAGCACCAGGTCCCACCACCACCCACCTACACCACCACGGGGACAAGAAGAACGGGCAGCCTTTCACCCAGCCTCATGGTCCACCCACATGGCCCTAATTCCTAGCAGACGTCCCCCAGCTTTGTGTCTGGGGTTGCTTCCGCCAGGGATGCAGGTTTTTCCCTCGAAAATGCCCCTTGAGGAGGGAGGACCAGGACCCCACTGCATTTTGGCACCCTGTGGGTGCCCCGAAGGCCACCCTGCTCGGCACTGCCTGCCTGCTCGAGGTGCCCCCACAGACCAACTTCCACACACTGCTCCTCACAAGTGGTTGGGGAAGCTCAAGCCGGGCACTGCAGAGGTGGGAAGGG